TTTGCTTTATTAAAATGACAAATGTGGTAGCAAATTTTAGAAAGGTTTGGAATATTTCACTTACTGCATAGATTGTATATAAGATAGCAGAAAACTGCAATATCTATGAACAAGCATTTCTTGGTAACAACACAGAGAATAACTGACCTTATCCATGATAGATGTGAAAAACAATCAGACAAATCCTGACTACATCTAATTTTAGTTTACTTTATTGTCATTGCACCTTGTACAATGAAATCAAACACCATCTTCAGTGCACATCATGACCATGACCATGAAAATAAACACAAACACACATCCTTCACCCTTCACACATCGAACCGGAAACCCCTGACACCACACCAACACTGCGCTATACAGCTGAATTCAAAATAGCTACTGCCCTGGGATAGAAGCTGTTTTTCAGCCTATTTGTCCTTGTTTTTATTATTCTGTACCATCTGCCAGATGGTAATTCAAAAAAAGGGTTCCCAGGATGAGATGGATCTTTGAGAATGTTTTGAACTTTCTTAAGGCAGCGGAAGCTATAAAGCTCTTCCAAAGAGGGGAGAGGGCAACCAATGATTTTCTGGGCAATGACATTAACCCCCTGGAGTGCTTTCCTATCTGCCACTGTGCAATTGGCAAACCATACAGAGTTGCAGTATGTTAAAATGCTCTCTATGGTACAGCGGTAGAAGGTCACCAGCAGTTTCTCATTTAGTTGTTATTTTCTGAGAAGCCTCGGGTAGTATAATCTCTGCTGGGCCCTTTTGACCAGGGCTGCAATGTGGGCAACCCAGCTCAGGTCCTCTTTTAAGGTAACACCCAGAAACTTAAAACTGGCCACTTGCTCCACTCGGTCTCCATTGATTAGCAAGGGCTGGATGTCTGATCTGATCCTTCTATAATCCACTATAAGATCGTTGGTCTTATTGGTGTTGAGGACCGAGTTGTTGTCTCCACACCACAAAAGCAACCGGTCCACCTCATCTTGGTAGCAGACTCATCCCTCCCTGGAGATAAGTCCCACCACTGTTGTATCATCTGCAAATTTAGCAATAGTATTACTAACGTGAGTGGGAATGCAATCATGCACATAAAGAGTATAGAGTAAGGGACTCAACACACAACCCTGTGGTGTGCCAGTGTTAAGAATAAGGGCTGAAGAGGTTTGATTACCTAATCTGACCCTCTGTGAGAGACCAGACAGGAAATCCATAATCCAAAGGCAGATTGAAATAGGTGATGTTTCTCAAAGTGGGCAATTTTAAGATGTGTGAACTCCCAGAATTCCTTAGCTGGGAAAACTAGCTCAATAATTTTGCTCAGCAGCTGTCTTAGTTATTCTTGGGTCTGCATGGGCCTTGTGGGTACATCATTCTCCTAGAGTGATGTTAGTGTAAGTGGAAGTCATTAACAGGTTCTTGAAGTCAGGAACACATAATGTTACTTTTATCAATCCCCAGCCTAACAGGGAAGCAATTTTGGCCTATTCTTTTTCTTCCATTCATCAAAAGTACTACTTTCAAAATTCATATGATGCTTTCACTGGTCTATTGATAAATGTATGTATATGTGGGATGTGAAAGTCCAGATTTTACTGAGGAGGCAGTCCAGGATAAAATGGCTGTGGAAAGAAGTAACCAGTTATGGAGAAGAGGGGTCATTTCTGCCACAGCAGCTAACTGCTTTTGTTTTTTTCAACAGGTGGTAATACAGTGGTAATAATTCTTAGCTGCAAACAGGGGAAATTAATGGTAAGGGGCTCATATGCACAAGGGGAAATTAATGGTAAGGGGCTCATATGAGAAGCCTATTGCAATATATCTCAAGATCACCTTGTCTTCCTCATAGTGATGGGTGTTTGCATTCTCTGTTGAAGAGGGAGGGTTAAAGAATCATAGGAACTTTCCATTCAGGCCATGAAAAGTACAAGTTGGATAGAACATCAGACCTATGGTATTTTTTCCTCTCTTTTCTTTTCTTTTTTTGTTTTTCTTTCTTCATATATTGGGAATTACAGGGAGCACACTGAATAATTCCAATATGAATATAAGCAATGAAACTATTTTCTGTGTTTTTCCTATTTTACAAACTTTCTAACAGTTATTATTTTAATATTTTGTGGCACTTCTAAAATTGAAAGTATTAGAACTCTTCAGCCAATGGAAAATTGAGTGACAAGTTCCCAGTAGTTGTGACATGTCAAAGTGGTTGCTAGTAGGCACCCCTGAGGCTACAAAATTGATTCAGGAGTTGCAGGCCAATATATTGTGAAAATGCTAGCAAGTGATGAACTGGACAGCAGATGTTTCCAGATGTTTTGACCTAGCAACTTTTAATTCCAAACTCCAAATAAGCTATAATTCCAAACTCCAATTAGTTTTAAACTGTAAGATTCCCCTTTATCTATTACTACCTTTCTTCTTTTTCCTGTAGTACACCTCAACCCCAGAACTTTTCAGATTTATAAGATCTGCAATATCAAAAAATCCCATTGAACTTGTTTGAGAGCAAATAGGTCTTAGAAAGGTATTAATAATGTTATTCTACAAAAAAAAAACACCACCAAAACCCACAGATATTATTCTCTGTGGTCTCAGCAGGTGATGTGATAAAGTTAAATCTCTCTAATTACTTAGATCAATGATCAACAGAAATCCTATAAGAAAGGGAAATAATAGATAATCATATGGAAATCAGTGAGGAAGTGGTTGGCTTTCTTTTAAAAAAATTTAAAGGTTTTTATCCTGCTTTTTTATATTTATAAATCACTCAAGGCATTGAACATACAAAATAGTCCTTCCTACTCCTATATTCCCACCAATAGTCTTACATGGTAACATAGGTTGACAGCGAGCGATTGGCCCAGATCATCCAGCCAACATTCATGTATAAGGTTGGACTAGATCTCACCATCTCCCAGTTTCTAATCTGGTGCCTTAACCATTACATCAAATGGATTCTTTTTTTTTTTTTTTGCATAAAATCAAGCATATTCTGAATAGCTATCCATCAGAATGTTTCATTTGGATTCCTGCAGAAAAGATTTTGTCTTTTTTGGCCTAAGTCAATTATTTGACATGGATAATGTCTAGGTTTGCCTTCTTTACAAAGGAAGATCTCAGAAGAAAAAAAATAGAGGTGATGACTTTTTAAAAATCACCAAATAATGTAAATGCATTAAAAATGATATCTTAGACTTCTTCAATACAGAATTGCAGATCTTTAAAATCAATTTTGAGACTCCACTAGATATTTCAAGAGGATATTTTATTACCTGCATAGGTTATTACATATAATTATCGAAGATTACAAATAATATACAAATGAAGCAAATCTCAAAGATATGTAATTCAAAATGATATTTATTAGCATTAATTCCATGAAAACGTGATTGTGATTGAAAGACAATTTGCTTGGATTTCACACAAATCTTTAAAAGATTTAGAATTACTTATAAAGTAATAAGAAGCAATAAGTATTGGGCTCACCCAAAACAGATATAATAGAAAGCAATAATAAATTGGTACAAGTTGGATGAATAAATTATTAATTAATTGAACATAACATTGGTTCATCAACTGATACAATAATGGTATAGGCAGGTGAATAAAAGGCACTGTGGAGACTGGTATAAAATGCTAAACGCAACACCTTAATCATGCTCAGCATCTCTGAAAAAATAACATGTGCAATAGTCTTATTTGTGTTATTGTCAAGCCACAGTTCCGCACTGGTATAATTGATGCCATTGCATAAGATAGTTTCCTTATAGAAATACATTTCTGACAGAGTGTCAGACTCAGAAAGATTTCTGGTGGTACTTAAATTATCAATTAAATGAACAGCATCTTTGAATTGCTCTTTTGTAGGATGGACTATTTTTGTTTGCATTTCTCTGCGGAAGAAGAGATTACTGTTCTTTTGGGAATAAACAAGCGTACAAATTTCTGTCACAGAAGAATTTGTGACAGAAACTTGCCATATGCACTCATCCTTGTCCCTTGGTCTACAGAGATCCCAGTCGCTTTCTCTCTTGCCCGTATGACATTTATAGGTTGAACAACCATATTTGGCACACTGATAGTTAATGTGGCAGGGCAAGCCAGTGGGAGTCACATCTCGGAATGGAGAGCAGGGTTCAAATCCATAAATAGTCTCACATTGGAAACGTGCTCCAATTATTCGGCAATTGTTCTTACATGAATTGTTTTTCAGTGAATATTCAAAGGAACCCCACTCTGATGGTATGCTGCAGTAATTCCATTTTCCATTTTTGAAGTAACAATATTGATAGGAACCTCCCCAGAAATCACAAGGTGAGTCACATTGTTCACCAGAAACAGCCAGGCCTTCTTTTAAGGAACAATAATCCCAACCATGTCCACTGCCACCCAGTTGCTTGCACCAGGTGTACTTATAATCATGATACCCACAAGTATTTGTACATACTCCTCCTGAGCTTGTGTAATGCACAATATGGGAGGAAGTCCAAGATATGAAGGAGAAGAATGCAATCACAGCTACATAAACTCTCATCATGATCTTCTTGAATTCCTGAAATCAAAGAACAAACATTCTGCTAAGTTTTTATAATTTTGCTTCTCAGCTTTCACACCTTCCTGTCCCAAATTCTGACTCCTCATGGTTTCATAATATGCCATTTATTAATGTTTCTTTCATTATGGTAAATTGTTAGAAAGTGAGATAATCATACCTTCTATCTGATTTTTTATCTTTCTCTGAATTTCACCTTTTTGTGAGTGGTTAATCTTCTAAGCCCTGGTTATCTCAGGTGTCATTGCAACCAAAATCTTAAAATCCTTTTCTAATTTTATGATCGCAAATGTTACAGAAACAAAACTCTTACCTTTGATTATTAATGATGGATCTCATTCAACAACACCTAAAATTAAAAATGCTGTTCTAAAATATTAATGGTGATATATTAATTTATGAAACTGCTACATGCAAAGCATTACTTACAATCAGATATCCTCCTGCTTTGTTCTTCTCTAGGGGGAACATAACATATAGAAATGGTGGAGCAGAGTTGCACTTGTTCTCTAAAATGTATATGGTAAGTAGGATTCCCCCCCCCCCATATTCTCCTTTAATTTTTACAAATCTTGTTGTTTGTTGTTAATTGATCTATCATCATTTAAAGAATGGAAAAATATTTCCTAACACATCTTTAAAGTCATGAAACCATGCAATATCATACAGGAAAAAAGTAAATGTGAAAATGACTTGGTTTGGGCATTTTTTACAGATTTTTAATTTAAAATTTATTATGGAACTTTTGTGGCCCAGATATCTACTTTCCAAAATAGTTACATAATCTGGCTAAATATATGCAGGCCTGGTATTGTTTCCTCATCAGTTAAAACCCATCACTTATCCCAGAATTAATATCATTAAGAAAAAAAAGGTAATTGTACAAAGATGGAACACCCAATTAAACCCCTTTAGGGAAAAAGAAATCAGCTAATTATCTTTCTAGAAAAGATTATGTAATTATTCTGAAAAACTTTTCGTCATAAATATCAACATTAAATATTTTAAATTTACTCCCAAATGTACAGCTACCAAAAGCCATTAAGTAGCAGTTTTGGAGTAGAAGCCTGATAAATTAACAAACAAATAAATAAAATTATATAAATAAATGAATAAATATACAGACCTGGAAATCAAGTCAGTCACTATCCAGCAAGATCTATTGGCCTAAAATATATAAAATACGAATGACCCATTGGGATACCCATATCAACATAATTTACCTTATGTCCAGCCAGAACTTGAAAATAACATTTACAGTAGCACACAATGATTCGGTTGAGATCTGTATATGTGGGATAGATTGCAAGGGCGACTCTTAAATATAATGTTATTATATTTTATCTATATCTTAAATTCTTGTACATTTTTACAATTTTATTTTGGATTTATTTTATTACTATTTCATCTTAAATCGTATTTTGTCTAGATTCCATTTTAAATTGTATTTTATCAAGTTCCATTTTAAATGGTAAATACTATTTTAAATAGTATTTTAAGTAGTATTTTATCAAATTTCATTTTGAATTGCTTTTATTAAATTTTAGTAAAAAATTGTTGCTGGAACTTGCACTTTGATATGGCCCAAAGGCTAATCAATAAAGACTTATTATTATATAAAATGGAAAAGGTATACAAATATATTTATGTACTTGTTTATTTATCCACACTTATATGCTGGCTAATGTAACATAATTTTACATAATGTATCATGCAATTCTACATTATTCATAATATATTAAAACAATGACATACATGAAACACAAAAAGAAATTCATAAATAAAACAGTACTGATCATAAAAATATTGTTGCTCTTAGGAGATCTTTGCAACTGAATGGATATTGAAACAAAATTGTCTTAACCATTTCTTATAGATCATCAAGATATTAGCACATCTGATCTTTGTGGGCATCAGGCATCATTCAAGTTCTTCTGCCTGCTAGAGTGTGTAAGGTGGGAAAAATTGTCCTTGGATAAGCTATATAGATTTTTCTGGAAAGTGAGCCAAATCTTGAATTGGGCCCCAAAACCTATAAGCAATCAGTGTAGTTCCATCAGTATAGTATTATCCTACTAAATCATTTAATGCTGGCATTCCCAAGTAAAGTCAATTATAGTAATCTAACTGAGATGACAAACTGAGGACTAAACCACATTTCCCCAAACACAAAATAATCCGAGAATTCAATTTCTTTGCAATATACACATTTCATTTAGAGAAAATACTTATCTTTGATAAATTAATATGGTAACTGCTGGATTTTGATTGGCATGAAAATAAATCAATTATTTTAAAAGTCCCTAAGCTTACTTGTAAACTAAATAGCTTCACATAATTCTATTAGTTAGTGAAGTAGAGCATCAAGATATAGAGCTAAACAAGAGGGATCAAGAATGTTATTTTATATTTTAAAAAATGCAAATAGAAAAACTCATAAACAGAGAATCAAATTCATATCCTTCCTTTTTCATCTCAGATGCAATTTTAAAAGCCATGATAACTAGCATCCTTCACTGAATTGTTAACAATAACTTACTCCTTTTTCCAACAAGCACTTCTTTCCCTTGTTCTGTGACTCCCCCAAAACCCGAGGAGTAATGAGGGTAAATGGTTTTTGCTCTTTATATATTGACCAAGTGACTGACTTTCTGTTTCAAAGCTAGGGGTAAAGAGGAGGAGCAAAATGAGAAATTCAAGCATCTTTTTCCCATTACTTACTTTTTCCCATTACTAATAGAAAAATGCAAACTACTCAGTGAGAGGAAAAACAAAATTTATTATGAATTGAACAATGGATCAGGGAACTAGCTATGGTTGTAATTATGAGCACCTACCTATATCTTTAAATCAATCTCATTATCACTGTTGCAGGTCTCAATCCATTTATTTCTTCTCTAGATTGAAACACAAAATGAACTATATCCTATTCATCGATGTCATATCAAATTTAATCTTGATATGAAAAACTCACAGAAACAACAAAACAGATCTTGAATTTGACTCGAAGAATAAAAATATATTTTTATTTTATAATGGATCATTTGGTTCATTGTAGATTGGCTGCACACAGTTATTAGAGGATTAAGAATGTATATAATGACTGCATCCTCCTCTTGCATGGAAAATTAAGATGAAATGATATATCCTATAGTAAAACCGGACTTAGTGCTTTTCCTAGTCTAGTCTTAATGCTTGATTTCTTTGCATAAACTGCATAGAAGTAAAACTACTTTAACCAATTCCTGGTTTTCACTTGGGCTGGAAAGAGAAAAGAAAATGTTTCATGCAATAGATAGAGTTGGAGAACAAAGAGGGAAAAAGACTCCATGGTCAAAGACTGTTCAGAGGTCAAGCAGACGTGAATGAAATGGCTCTGGGCAGCAGCCACGGAGAGATTTCATGTGATATGCTAGTAAACCACTTATGCAGCACAAGTTGGAAAATAATACTTTTATTATTTATTTAGGAGGAAATGCTAGAAGTTGTCTTTCTTGTTTGCTGGGGACATGTTAGCTTCAAAATGCACATAAAAACCAGGAGCTTTAATCATCACATTCACCATCTTTTATAGAATAACAGGGTAGGAAGAACCTTGGAGGTTCTTTACTCCAATTCCTAGTGAAGCAGAAAAACTTCTACTGGTTCAGACAAATCTCTTCTTTAAAACTCCAGTGTTAGAGCACCTATAACTTCTGTAGGCAGCTTGTTCCAGTGATTAATTGTTCTGTTAGGAAATACCTCCCTATTTCTATGTTGTTTCTCTTCTTCCTTAGTCTCCATCCATTTCATCTTATTCTGCCTTCAGATATTTTGGATCTTGATATTTATTATCTTGATATTTATTATTCTTCATGATCACTTATGAACTGTGACATCCACAATTCATTTAACAAATGCTCCAGAAATAGGAAGTCATTAAAAACATGAGGAGGAAACATATTAAGTATAATTCCCTTCATTTCAATTCCATTAAACAAAAATTAAGCCATTTCTAACTCTTTTCCTAACTTTAATTCAGCAAAGGGCATATGTGATCCTTGACCTAAAAAAGATTGAGACCTTCTGATGCAGTATATTTTGTTTCCTGAGCAAACTGCTTTATATGAGTTTCAAAAAACAAAGATACTTGTTTTTTGCAAAATCATATGACAAATTAAAAATTATGAAACCTACAAAAGCCCTGGGGGAAAAATGGTAACATTCTGTTTAAGAAAAGTATTCAGCTATCCTGGCACATGTTTTTCACCCTGGCATGTTTTTCATTTTATTGACATTCTTTTGCAATGACCTGAGAGAGGTGGGGAGGGGAGGGGAGGGAGAGGAGGGAGAGAAGGAGGGAGAGGGAAGAAGAGACTTTATTTTACAGGGTTTGGGGACATTTTCTGTCACATATGTCCAAAAGAAAAGAAAAACAGTAGATTCTCCATAGAACTGAACTTAAATTCTAATGAGTCCTACATTTATCCATGTACAGAATACAGCTATTATATCCATAAAATTCTTTTGGCTATCATATAGAAGTAGTTTGCTTTGCTTTTGTCTTCTTCTGTGTTCTTTTCTCAACTTTCACCCTGTAAACTTTGGATTCCATGATAGTCTCCCATAAAATTTAAAACAGAACTGATCCTACTTCACTTTTAGAAATTGGACCAAGTGAGATTGGTGGTGCCTGTCAACTGGTTTCACTAGGTTCATCTTGGGAATGTTAGCATGCTATCTAGGCATCTGCCTCATATTCCTAGTCCTTGGGTAACTTAAACTTAAAGTTATCCTTAAATATTCTAGTTTCAAAGTTGTGTTTTGCTCCTTAAGCAAGCAACAATTCTCGGCACTTTCTAGATGTATAAAATCTGACACACATTGCAAACTATTCAATGTATGGTAGAGGGGGCAAGATAGGCCATTTCACACCAGATTTTATACTCCTCCAAAAATTCCTAGTTTTCAAAGAGTCCTAAAACAAGCTGACCGAACAGCTAACTTTTAAGTAGTAAAGCTAGAACTATCCTACCTGTGCAAAAAAAAAAAAAAAGATAATTGACCATTACAGTTATCTTTCAAAAGGAAAGATTGGGGACAAAAAAAGTCAAGATGGCAGCTGTGCAACTAAAGTCAACCACTTTTTAATATGACATTGCTAATTCAAGTTGGAATACAAAATAAAGTACATACAAAAGAAGAAAGGGAAAACACGGAACTTATTTCAAGACAGGATGTTTGTAGTACCAAAACGGTAAGTGTAAACAGGCAGTCAAAGCCCTGCTCTTTTTAATATTGTTGCACACATTACCAATGTGTAAAAAAGAATAAGGCTTTGATCGCTCAATTAAGCTATCACACTGATGCAGTTGACATTGCCAAGCCTCTACTTTAAGGGATTGAGATAAAAATGTAAGGAATACATTTTTGGAAACAGACATTTTCTCCAAAGATAAGAATATAAGTTTCAAAAGATAACTGTTCCTAAGGGTCTTGCTGGAATTATTTAGACTGGTATCCATAAAGGAGAAACATCCTGGATCAAGATCACAGAATAATAAAATTGATTTCACACTGCAAGTTTTATATTCTCTTTTCTTATCCTCCATTACTCCATTATTCTGAATATTTTTCTGAAGCTTCTACCTCTCACTCAGAAGGTTGAGAGTTCAATCCTAGGCACTGGCAGATGTTTCTCATCGGGGTGCAAAGAGAAAGCACCTGCTACAAACTCTATGTAGGCATCAAGAAGGGCATCTAACTAGTGAGTGCTCAGCTCCATTCAGATACCTAATCAAGAGATTATAGAATTTTAAAAAAGAAAAAAAATGTAGCAACTAGGTTGGAAGTTACAGAGACTGTCTTTTGCAAGAGATAGCTACAATTTCAGCAGGGAAATTTTTTGTGTACAGAAATTTTATTTTGCTGAGTCTTCCGAGGAATCCAAAAACCCAGTGGACTAAAGTTCTCTTTCTAAGCCTGCAGTTGGCTAGGGTTTTTGGAAGGGAAGAACTTTGGACCTGTAGAATATTAACTTCTGATTGACCAAGAATTGTCCAAACAGAGCACATAGTGAAGGCCAAATTTCTGTACTTTGAAGCTGCAAATACAATAAAGAAACAAAAGCTACTTTACATCTGGATAGTGAATGAAACATAGGCTTATTGATGCACCTGACACAGAGCTACGCTGAGGACACTGGAATGTCTTGACTGGGATAAGACTGGAAAATTGTGGCTGGATGGTAGTAAAGTGATGAAAGGTAATTAAGACTGATCAGGTGAAACTATCAGCAGGCCACATAGTAGATCTATAGACTAGTAAAGTAGCTCACAGTTACATGATGATGAGGCAAGGATGGTAACATCCAATACCAGCAAAGACTGAACCCTTCTAAGTCCTGATGGGAGATTCCATAGAAGCTTGTGGAGAATAAGTAGGACTTCCTGATCCAGACAAACAAACAGCTACTGGCCAATCAATCAGGCATCATGGTAGTAGACAAAGATCAGAAGACAGTAGTGGGGATGATGTACTGAGGCTAAATAACAGAAACATCAGGAAAAAGGAGTATGACAAGCTTGGAAAAACATCAGACCCTGAAACAGAATTAGCAAGAACGTGAAATAAAATGAAAACTGTTTCCAATGCTGGTAAGAGCACTCAGACATGTAACTCCTAAATTGGGAGAGTGCTGCCAACAGATTCCAGGAACAACATCAGTGCTTTCTGTCCAGAAGAGTGCAGTGAGAGGAACAGCTATGATTTATTGATTTATTTGATTTGTCAATCGCTTACAAGATAATAGGTATAAGTATAAACATAATTATGAATACATGAAATTGATACATATAAGAAAAATAAAAAGAAACAATAGGACAGGGATGGTAGCCACATTGGTGCACTTATGCACGCCCCTTACAGACCTCTTAGGAAAGGGGTGAGGTCAATAGTAAACAGTCTAAGGTTAAAGTTTTCGGGGTTTGGGGAAGAAGCCACAGAGTCAGGTAGAGTATTCCAGACATTGACCACTCTGTTGCTGAAGTCGTATTTCCTGCAATCAAGTTTGGTGCGGTTTATCTTGAGTTTGTATCTATTGTGTGCTCTTGTATTGTTATGGTTGAAGCTGAAATATTAATTGACAGGTAGGACATTGCAATATATTATTTTATGTACTATACTTAGATCGGACCAGAGGCGGCGTAGTTCTAGTTTTCTAGGTCTACAATTTCAAGTCCGGTGGCAAAAGGTATTCTGCAATGAGTAGAGAAGTGGAGAACTCTTCTTGTGAAATATTTCTGGACATTCTCAACTGTGTTAATATCAGATATGTAATGTGGGTTCCAGACTGATGAGCTGTATTCGAGTATTGGTCTAGCAAATGTTTTATATGCTGTAGTTAGTAGTGTAATATTACCAGAGAAAAAGCTATGTAGGATTAGGTTAACAACTCTTAATGCCTTTTTGGCTATGTAGTTACAGTGGGCTCTAGCACTTAGATCATTAGAGATGAGTACTCCAAGGTCCTTGACAGAGTTTGTGTCATCAACAAGGTCTTGACGATTCAGCTTGTATTTTATTTTCTGATATATATTTTTTTGCCAATATCTAGGACAAAACATTTATTTGTTGAGATTTGAAGTTGCCATTTGTTTGGCCATTCTGATACATGGTCAAGATCTTTTTGAAGGGTAGCAGTATTGTCTGTGGTATTGAACAGCTTTAAATCATCAGCAAAGAGAACGCAGTTGCTCTTAATATGATCACAGAGGTCATTTATGTAGAGTACGAAGAGAGTTGGTCCTAGAACACTGCCTTAGGGGACACCACTGTTGACAGGTACAGAATTTGATAGAACGCTCCCAATTTGGACCATTTGTTGTCTGTTTGACAGGAATGCTTCTATCCAGTTATGCAGGTGTCCAGATACCATAAGATTTTAATTGTAGTAGTAGTTTGTCATGTACCACTGAATCAAAGGCTTTACAGAAGTCTATG